CACACACACACACATATATACAGACATTCATACATGCACACACACACACACACACACACACACACACACACACACACACACACACACACACACACACACACACACACACACACACACACACACATACATATATATATATATACAGACATTCATACACACACACACACACACACACACACACACACACACACACACACACACACACACACACACACACACACACACACATACACACACACACACACACATGTATATATATATATGAATATATTTGTATATATATTTATATATATATATATATTTATATGTATAATATATATATTTATATATATATATGTATATATTTATATATATATTTATATATATAATATATATAATATATATAATATCTTTATGTATACATGTATATATAATTATATGTATATTATATATATTTATAAATATTTATATATATATATATGTATGTGTGTGTGTGTGTGTGTGTGTGAGAGAGGTATACCATCTCTCATGCTATTCTTGCAGTATTTATTCCTATGTTTAATATTTTAAGGTTGCAGTAGTGCAATGTCTAAATTAATTAGCATGGCCCCATGAAAGGTTCTGATATCAAGTGAACTTCGAGCTCATGTGTTTAAGAGCTGGCAGTATTACCCCTGGGGTAATACTGGAATGAACGTACCATGGCAAGTCAGTGGTAGGGGGGTGGTAGTGAGCGGTATTAACTCACCAGCTCGTTCATAAAACCCTTAGTCCACAGAGTCTATTAATGTGAAGATGAAATGAAAAACTGGCCATAAAGTGAAGGTAAAATGGAAATGAAAAAAAAGCCAAAGAAATTAAACATGTAAGTAAAATAATGCAAAATGTCACCGAAGATGTAAAAGGTAAACAAAATGACAGAATGTGAACGAAAACACTAAATTGGCCTGCAAAAACTGTTTGCGTGGACAACCAATTATTAACGGAGACACTTGCAAAATATGCATTTGCTTTGTGAGCCGTTTAAGAACGGGCATACAGCATAAAATAGACATGTGGATAAAAATCAGTAGCTAACTACTTATCTTTTAAGTATAAAACTGTGACAGTTGTGGTATGTCACTATAAGTTCTTTGGGTTGGGAAGGCAAAGAAACACCTTGGAGCAGACTAATAGGTATGCATTTCACTTTGGAGTTGTATACTGCAATGTTACATATATATACATATTTATAAGTATATATTACATACATACTCACACACACACGCATATATATATTTATACGTATGTGTGTGTGTGTGTGTAAGCTGCGGGACCTGTCTTTGTGTAACATTGCAGTATATATATATGTACATATACATATACATATATATACACATAAGCACACACACACACACATACCCACATATATATATAGTGTGTGTGTATGTATTTGTATATTTGTGTGTGTATGTGTATGTATATTTGTGTGTGTGTGTGTGTATTTATGTGTAGGTGTGTGTGGGTGTGGGTGTGGGTGTGAGTGTGTGTGGGTGTGGGTGTGTGGGTGTGTGTGGGTGCTCTGCTGCCTATACATGGATCAAAACCTGGACATTAATATTACTTGAGTGGAGCCTCCCCCAGATGTATGGCTTGAAGCCCGACTCACATAAACTCTCATGTTTTGTGTCATGACTCCTTACCTCTCCTTTATAGGGTTAATGTGACTATTTCTGCATAAACAATTTTTTTATTTGTCATTTTCCAAGGCATGTATTTGTTATTTTATATGATATATTAAGATAATAGACAATTACCCTTGCATAGACTACTTATCAACTCTCAAGGTAGTCTACAACACTACAATAAGAATAACAAAAAGTGATATTATATTTGTATAATTTTAAGATATTTTTGTATTATTTTTTTCTGTAACACATACTGCAATGCTGGTCATAACTGGCAGAAAGCATCCTATGCATGGAAATAGTTTCCTCTCAGAAGCAAACAGTCTTCCAGCTATGACTCATGTATGGTAAATTCCTCACTCATTTACTAGTGGAAATAATATAAGAGCCCCTCCTAAATGCTCACCGAATCTAATCTTGCTTCAGGAGCTCTGTGCACTTGTTGCAAATCATTCCTATCACCCTAGCCTAAGGGTCCAAGTTGCATTAACTGCTGTTACTCAATAAAGTTACCTCAATAAATCCTTTACACCTAAGTGGTCAAGTTGTTGTAGAGACATAATGGGCATAATATGTTTCTGATAACATTGGGTCAAAGTATCCGTGGTGCCTTATTTTTGTTGAGGCTATAGTTTTTTTAATGGTAGTTTTATTCTTTAGTGATTTTTTTGTTGTGGTATGTGCTTTACCTTTTATATTTTAAGATATTTTTCACAAAATATAGTATAGTATTGTTATTGTTATATCTTTCTGCCCACAGTGCAAAAATTAAGTTGTTTTATTCCATTTGCAGAAATCAGGATTGCATGTCTTGACAGACTTGATTACAGAGACGCGACCCTGTGAACTGCTGAGTAAGTGTGACATTTGTTTTTTAAGCTTTTATATAGGTTAGCATATATCATGTACATAGGATTTTTAAAAGATTAATTTTCACTTAATATTCTTTTGTTATAGGAAAAAGTACTCAAAAATATTTTTCTACATCATTTGTTTCAAAGGTATATCATGAAAAGTATGTGCTCTTTTCCAATAATTGTAATTTTCCCCCAGTTATTTCACCTTGAATAGGTAAAAGAAGTTCATGGGTTATTTTTTTTGTTCTTTTCATGATTTTATTTTTTTTATGGATATTGCATCATGGATCCACATCCATAGTCTAAATCTTCCCCAAATAGTAAACGTACATGGTACATTTACCATTATTCAGTATGTATAGATTTATAGTGCAAACCATTAAAAGATTTGTTGGTTAGTGAGTCATTGGAGTTATTTTTACATTTAGTACTTTTACAAACTTCATGATGCTAATTGGTGTGCAAGGGATGTGTTAATGATAGTAGTACAAGGTAGTATACATGGAAAATATGCGGGTCAGTATTAATGCAAAGAAAGTATATAAATCCTAAAGGAATTAAATCTTGCCTAAGAATGAAAATTGTTAAAAATATATCCACTGAGAGGGAAAAATCTCTTTTGTAAGGTAGATACTAAATTCAAATTGCCTCTATCAACTTTCACATAGATATGAGAAGGGTGTTGAAAGAATTGCTTATGAGTAACCCCATTGGATTTTTATATGCCGGAGGAGGGTTAGATACTTTTTAGTTACATTTTTATTTTAACAGATTTATGATGGGAATAGAGGATATCAGTTAATAGTAAGGGTCATTATGATATTCTAAATGCTTTAGCTTAGGACATGCTACAAAGTAAGTATTTTAACTGATTGCATATTTCCATTACTTTGATATTCACAAATAGATTGCAACACATTATGGATTCATTATGTTATTAGATTTGATAAAATGTCAGATGTGGCTGATGAACTCTAGTAATGAATGATGGGAATAAAGGATATCAGTTAAAAGCTAAATGCTAAAACTGATATTGTATTACAAATTAACTATTTTAACTGATTGTATATTTCCATTATATTGATGTTTACAAATAAATTTCAACACATAATGAATTCAGTATTTTATTAGGTTTAATAAATTGTTAGATGTGGTTGATAAACTTCTAGTTAAGTGAACTGATTATAAGGCATAGAAGTTCATAATTAAATGACATTTTCTAATAAAATTCAATGACTCCTCAGTGACAGGAAAATAAATAGATATTCAGGATTATTGGTCAGATTCCAGTAGTGTACATCATTACCCAGAAGGTAGACAATACAAGAAATTGATAGATTAACCAATACAAAAAAAGCTTTGCAATTATTAAACATTTATTGGAAATTATTTGTGATAAAATATTTACTATTATTGATAACAGCCAATCAAATGTCGCAGTTCAAATAGCTAATCAGACCATTTGCTTCATAATACTTAACACACTTAAGCTGGGATGGCAAATATGCATGTCATGTCCTTAAGGACTTCAGGAAAAGTTTATCTATGTGGATCAAATACCTTGAGCATTCAAAGCCAATCAGAGTGATGTGAATAAAAAAATACAGCAACTAAACTTTTAGAGCTCTTGCAAACCTCCCTGGCAATTTATTATGAAATAAGTAACCATTCCAAGCTTAGTCTTGGTGAGAGCATGGAAACCACAGTAATTGCTTGAGACTGCTATTATTGCTGTCTTATTTATGACATAAAAGAACATTTAGAAAAAGGCCTAGATTATGGTTATTTTACTTTTTCCATAGATTGGTAGGTCTGCTGTTTTTAGTGTATTCTCATGTATGGTAAAGATTTGTATGTTTGTTTATTTTTTCAAGAACATTATCATTAGTTGCATAAAATTAAATTATTTTTGAATTAGAGTAGTTTGATATTATACAAATGTTATAAGTTTTTGCTTAGTGTGGATAAAAAATAAGAAACATTGGTTTATCACATTTGGACTAGTAATACAAATGAATGTTAGTAATTTTGTGCAAGGGACAATGATTGTATTTATGAACTAACAGTTTAACCCATTCCCGCCAGGCATGCCATGCCATGCCCACTGTGAGATTACTTGTTTGATTGTTTTCACACATAGATGGCTACACTTGTACTAAATCACCAATGAGTCAGTTACGAGTACCGCCTGTCTCGCCCATTCACCCTTTTCTTTGATTTACGAAATATTTTACATTATCTTATTTTGCTGTTACTAGTGTTCAAAAACATTATAAAAATTATAATGTTTATGATAAAAATAACACCATCGATATTCATGGCACTAGTGAAAAATACGTTTTTCCCGCCATTTCAAATCAGGCGCTAACAGAGCCATCTATAGGCAGACATTTAACAAAAAAGTATAGAAAATAGGCACAGCATTTTCCCCATTTTTTGTTAATTTTCCCCGGCGGCAATGGGTTAAGGCTGCATATAGTTGAATGATGTGTGCTGAAAAGGAAATACACTTATAAAGTAATGAGATTTCCATTTGATGAGTCCCAGTATGTCTTGCAATTATCTTTTTTTATGTAGGCTTTGATATTATGATGTTGATATTCAAGGATTTTTTATTCTTTAGATTTCCCAGTATACCAATACCAGTTTACCAACTGTCTCAACAACAGTCCCAATGACTGTAGTGACTACAACTACTATTCCACCAACTGCAGTTGTAGATTCATCACATCTGAACTATGATAATCCACCTCCAACAAGCAGGATATTCTTTCCAGAAACTTGGCTCTGGAATCTTGTGAATCTGTAAGATTCCTTGTTAGGTTTGGTGTAGAAAAAGACCTTTTTTTCCAGTGCAAGGGCTTTGGTGATGGCTTGGGATTTTCAGTTATGTATCACAATTTCTGGGACCAAACACGTACTTAAATACATTATATATATATATATATATATATATATATATATATATATATATATATATATATATATACATATATGTATATATATATGTATATATATATGTATATATATACACATACATACATACAGATACACACAATATATTTATATGTATATTTATATGTTTATATATATATATTATAATTGTGTACATGTATATATTATGTATGTATATATACGTATATGTATGTATGTTTATGTATATATATATATATATATATATATATATATATATATATATATATATATATTATATATATATATAATTGTATATGAATAAATAGATAAATATATTTATATATATATATATATATATATATATATATATATATATATATATATATATATATATATATATATATATATATATATATATGCATATACATACACATTTATGTATACACATGCTTACATATACATACACATATACACATATACATATATTTAGATATTTAGATTTGTATATATATATTAATGTATATATATTTGTAAATATATATATTTATATACATATATATATTTGTATATATATTTGTATATATATACATATACACACATATATTTATATATATATACATATATATACACACATATATTTGTATATATATATTTGTAAATATATATATTTATATATTTATATATATATATATATATATATATATATATATATATATATATATATATATATATATATGTATATATATATATATATATACATATACACACATATATTTATATATATATATATACATATATATACACATATATTTATATATATACACAAATATATTTATATATATATATATTTTTTTTTTTTCAACAGCCATACATTCCACTGTAGGACATAGGCCTCTGTCAATTCAGTATTGAGAGGTTATATGGCAGTGTCACCCTTGCCTGATTGAATGCCCTTCCTAATCAACCGCGGTTCAGTGCGTTAACACTTGTGCCACGGCGGTGACTTCCCCTACGACACCTGCGTTTGACTTCTCAAGGCGATATGTCACTTTCTCGGGCTCGAGCAAGCAAGCGGCTTGAATAGATATATCCCTGCCCTTTAAAGGAATAGTCCAGAGGGTAGTAGAATGTGTTTTTTTTTTTTTTACTTTATTTGCAAAATAAATAATCTAAATAAACATCTCAAGGCATCATTTTGTAAATTCATTCACAACACTAGACTTTATAGCCCTTTTTATCTAGCATTTTTACTCCTGAAATCCGTCTGCTACAAAATGTTGCCGGTGGCGCCTCCATACGGGTGTGATGTGACGTAGTACCGTGTATATGGGTCAGGAGATCAGCCATTATTGTGCATTTATTGTGACAAACTTTAATGTCTGGTGACAATTTTAGCCCGCAGGGAACTACCAAACGACAGAGGAAAGATGGAGGGACTCGAGAATTGGATGCGCACAAAGTTAACCCATTCGCGCCGGGTAAAAATGAACAAAAAATGGGGAAAATGCTGTGCTCATTTTTTATATTTTTTATGAAATTTCTCTACACTAGATGGCTCTGCCTTACCTGATTTCACCTTTACTTGAATTGGCGGGGAAATGTATATTTACTAGTGCAATGAATATCGATGGTTATTATTATTATAAACATTAAAATTACTATAACGGTATAAACATTAGTAACAGCAAAATAAGATAACGCAAAATAATTTCGTAAATTAAAGAAAAGGGTAAACAGGCGAGACAAGCAGTACAAGTACAAGTGGAGCCATCTATGTGTGAAAACAATTAAACATCGTGAATGGGTTAATGAAGGAGGAAGACGAGTCGTCAGATTCGGCCTATAACATGGCTCAAATTGGTATCCTTTCACCAATTCTCCTCCTACTTCCAGCTCCCTATCTTCTAGTTCATCACCAGTAAGATCTATTGATTCTGTGTCTACAGAATCAATAGATCTTTCACTTTCAACTTCACTGGAACTGCTGTAATCTTGTTGCTCGCCATGTTATTGGACAATGGCTATACAAGGTATGACGTCACGCGACGTGGTGGCGCCACCGGTCGTTTTTGAGGCAGACG